CTTAATTTGGCCTGAAAACACACTTGGCCCATTTAAATGCCTAGCAATCTTTTCAGTTACAACTGGCTACCTCTTTCAACTCTAGTGAAATATGCTACAAATAGCACCATTCCCAAAGTTCTTAAAATTTCTAGAAATGGCATAAAAATAAATATAGTAGAGAATATCCTGCTTTTATTCAGGATATTTTGATTCAAGGAGTTTCTAGTGATTTGCTTTCCTTCCCTACCCAGCTTCATTGTACCTTCCTATTACTCAATCCATTTTTTTTTTATGTTTCAAAACACATGAATTCAGCATGGAAAATCATTATTATAAAGAGCATAAATGATTTTTTTAATAAAAGGAACAGGCACATTCTAATGGACTTGATAGTGTTTAATCTGGAATGGCTTAATTGAAAGTCCTCTTATCAGCCTAATAATAGTGAATTATAATGACCCTGATTTAACAGAGACAGGGACGCTATCTTTCTCAATGGAAAGATGAGAAGCAGGGGTCAAGCGTCTTAACCAGATGTTACATAAATGAAATACATGTACAATGTAGTGATCTTGGAAAACTCATAAGGTTCAAAGAAGACAATAGCTGTAAATCCGATTAGCCTTTTTATTCAGCTTTTTCTCAGAACTGGATTGCTATCATATGTTCAACTTTACAATTTTATATTCTGATTTTTCTACATAATATGATATAATGAGCATTTTCACATCCTTAAAATTTTGAAAATTCCAGTTACGCTGAATTCATCCAAGGTGTAGGTATATTCTAATTTATATAGACATCTAAATTCAGGTTTCCTTCGTTCGTTTGTTTTGCTGTTACAAATCCTGTGGTAAACATCCTTAAAAATAAATCTACATATACATTTCTGTAGGCTGAATTCTTAGAAAGAATTCAAAGATGTTGAAACATCACCTACAGAAGATGTTTAACAAAATACGCTCCCTCAAGTAGTGAATAAGACAGTGTTTTTTTACTGCACCCTCACGAAACTATCTGCTTTTTAAAATCATTAAATATGATAGGCAAACAAAAAAAGTTAATTTGCATTTTTTTGTGAGGCTGAGTATTTTTCATGCTTACGGGTTACTTGGATTCCTTTTCAAGGGAAGAGGATGTTCCTCTCTTTTGCCCATTTTCCTATTGAGATTCAATTTTAGTGTTACTCTTATTGATCTATATGACTTCTTCAGAATATCAATTCTTTGCCATATTTGTTGTACAGTTTACTGACACTTTATCTGTCTTTCAACTTTGTTTCTGATTTATGATATTCAGATCAAAAAAGCAATGTTGTGTCAAGGCTGTTAATTTTTCCTTTCATTGCTTTTTGCTCAAAAGGTCCTTTCAATTGCTGATGTAAAGAAACATGTTATTTACTGCTTCCCCTAATACTTTATTTGTTACATTAACTCTTAAATTCATTAAGAACAACTTTTGGTATATAAGGAAGAGGTAAAACTCCAACTTTGTTTTACCTAACAGTCAACCAAGTTTATCAAACAACCAGACTCTCATTTTCCCCAATTTATGAATCTCTCCTTATTCTACACTAAGTTCCACAACATACCAGGTTCTATGTTTCCTAATCAGTCAACCAATAATCAATGATTATATTGTAAATTTAGCAACACCAAGTTTGCCTATTTGTTATTCTTTAAAATCTATCCAGTTATTTTTATGATCTTGGTATTCCTCTTAAATTTTCATCAGCTTGCTCTATAATTTCTATTCTCACCATAAACAGTCTTTTGAAAGATCTGAAAATGCACTAAAGAGTGAGAAAATAACAACAGAAAACCATGAAACCTCCCTTCCTTATCCCAAGATTTGCACTTTTAACATTTTGGGGCATACACTCTCAGGATCTCTATCAGGGATGATCTAGGTAGCTTCGTTACTATTCTTCCTCGGCAAGGAAACAAGCATTTCAGCATGATCGACTTTTCACAAATGGAAGAGATATCTTGATTCAATTCACAATTGGATTGCAATTTATTTTTAAAATACTAAATATATATATATATAATCTTAACTTCTCTCAGATTTGAATGTTTAATCTTTGGAGACATGTAAAAAGCAAACTATTTAATGAGCTAAATTCAGGTACACCCCTTAATATTGCTGCTCTGATCTATTAACTTGTGGTTTATTTAACTTGCAACAGAATCCAGTTAGTAATGCATCAGAAGGATAGCCCTGGTAGCATGCCAATCACACGAAAGTCATTTCCCTTGTTTTCCTTATTTCCTGGAGATGAAGTATTTCACTTACTCCAAGTGCATTACAAAGCGCAGTGCCATTTAATTCCTAAGTTCATATCTGTATGTATTTATTCAACAGTACCTTTGTGATAGGAGATGTTCAATAAACATTTGTCGAATGGAGGAGAATAAATGAAACACACTATTTAAATAGAGTACTGTATAAAATGGCACATTATTAATAACTACACTGGAATTCTTACAAGTGGCTGATGCAGGAACAAATGGTAAGCCTTTTATTCACAGCAAAGCCTGGGAGATGAATAGCTGACATACGCAATGTGTGATTTCTTCGTATGCACTAGTAGGAGATTTATATGCACTTATTAACCTATTGGAGTTCCAGTTCTGTCTTAGGCTGGTCTTTTGTCATGATTTGCTATGTTGTGACTCTATGTTAAATAAAAGGTTGTCTGTGCTAAAATGTGCATGAAATATGAAGACAGGCCAAAATTATTATACATGTACATCATTCCAGCCAAAACATAGACATATCTCTGCTTGTCTATGTTAAAAAAAAAAATCAGACATGTACATATGTGCAAAAGAAAAGAATTATTTTTCTGGACCTGAGATCTACTGTCATAGACTGGATTGTGTCTCCCAAATAACTAATGTTGAAGTGCTAACCTCCAGTACCTCAGAATGTGACCATATTTAGAGAAAGAGTCTTTAGAGATGCAATCAAGTTAAAACAGGGTCATCAGAGTGGACCTTAATCCAGTATGACTGGTGCCCTTTTAAGAAAAGGAAATTTGAATAAGACTTGTACAGAGGAAAGAAAATGAAAAGACACAGGGAGAAGATGGCCACCCTCAAGCCAAGGAGAGAGGCCTGAAAGGGATCCTTGCCTCGTGGCCCTCAGAAGGAAACAACCCTGCCAACACCTTGATCTCAGACTTCTAGACTCCCGAACTGTGATCAAATATATTTCTGTTGTTTACACCACCCAATCTGCAGTGCTATGTTACAGCAGCCCTAGCAAACTAATACACCTGTGAACTTAACAGAGACTATAGTGAGGCTGTATGTTAAAAACAAATAGGAATTCTTTTGTTTTTTCAACATTCTCAGTTTTTGAAATGATGAATCAGACCTGCCTGCGTATAGTGGTGGGGCCTGATTTGAAACTTCCCTGGGGTAAAACACCATCACAAAAGTCACTGCTTTAGGTAAGGCTTCTGATTCATCCCTTCATCAATTATAAATTCAAACCTATTCGACGGCACTGCCCGCTTCCACATATGACGCCACTGGACTGACAAAGGTAACATTAACACATAGCTGATCATCAATAAGAGCATGGATGCACTTCGTGCTTTGAAATGGTACCTCATTCTTGGCTTTTCCCTTGAGGTCTTCAAGTCACCTGCGTGCTTTCTACCTGTGTGCTTTCTACCTGTGTCTGCACTGATCTAATAAACAGAACAAGAAAAGAGAAATGTGGGGGAGGAACCATTCCCACTGCCCTTGATCCCCAACTCAGGTTTTCAGAGGACAGAAATGGGTGGTGACTTTTGTAAATGAAGTCAATGTAACGGCACTGCCCAAGTCACATGAAAGCCACCAGGTCAATGGTGATGCAAGGCGACAGGATACACAGTGGCTCTCACGGAGATCGGCCACTATCACTGATCAGCTCTTCCAAACCTGTGTCACTGTCCACTGTGAACTGAAGCTAGCCTGTGGAGCCAGGCAGGATTTGCTGACACATTCTAAGTTCATAACTATAAGGCACATTTCTCTGTGCCATCTTAATAAAACAACATGGAATAAAGTTTTATAATAGCAAGAGCGAGAGAAGAAAGTCATAATTTTCCATGCTTCATGATTCGGAATAATTAATTTAATAACTGTGTCATATGAGAAGAGTAAATAAAGAGAAGGAAAGGGGTGTAGATATATACGATCACTGAAGCATATACAATTGCAAGGAAAAACAAATTACCAGGGTAGCGCTGGAAATAAAAGCTTGGTGGGAAATATTTTTTAGATGCTAATTTGATTCTTCTATGGAGCCTTAAAGCTACAGTGTCTACAAGACCACTATTTACCTCCACTTGTTTTTATTTTTAGCAGTTATCTAAACTTTTGTTTCTAAAAACCCATTAAACACCTTCTTGATCTCCACTGGGAATTTTCCCTGTTCTCTACCTAGACTATAACAGGACTATGATCTCATTTACAACACCTTGCCGGAGAGTATTTCATCATCAGAGGTGTTTAAAAAAAAAAAAAAAAAAAGGACTGAAATTAATAAACGAGGGCAGAATCAAAATAAGATGCAGTTTTCTCTGGACACAGTTACAGTCTCTGGGGTTTGGTTCACAGTAAACATTGAGACTCTAGATCTTAGCTGAGCAGTTTCCTTGCCACGCCACAATCTGTAGGTCTGCAGGAAGAGATTATTTCTGAGTATATGTGCCTAAATCCCACACCAAAAATACAGGCTTCTAAAGTGAGTAAATAATTATTTCTATTAAGTCGTTACACAGAAAAGTAAACCTTCCTTTACTTAATCAGGTGAAACATCTTGTCTAATTTAATTCAGTTTTCCTTCCTCAAATACTAAAGATACCAGCCTTGTTCCTTCCCACATTAAAACTATTGATTCTGCTATTCAAACACTGGACTACATGTATCACATTGCATATTCCTGGAGCTCAGCACCCCCTTCCACCTCCAGGCCTCTCTGAGGACCTGCCCTCAGTGCCAGTCGCCGCAGTGACTTACCGACAGTGTTTATGGGACCCAGTCAAGGTTTCAATCACAAAGCACTCGCCATCATTGAGACAGTAGGCAAGGTCCTTGTCTCGGCAGGGTTTGAAGTGCTCAGACCGCTCCGTGGAATATGTCGTCGTATCTGTTGAGAAACACGGAGAAAGGCTGTCAGAAGTTCATTCTGACACCACCAGCTCCTGTCATTGGGCTGGACCTGTGCACTGAGACCTTCTTATGGCTACTGACTCCAGCCACACAGGATGGAACCTTCACTGTACTGAAAAAACACAACTGGATATGACCATTTTATAGACTGAATGTTTGCGTCCCCCCAGAATTCATAGATTGAAACCTAACCCCCAATGTGATGGTATTAGGAGGTGGGGCCTTTGGGTCATGAGTGGGATTAATACCCTTATAAAAGAGACCCTAGAGAGCTCCCTCGCCCATTCTAGTCATATGAAGACACAGCAAGAAAATAGCCCTCTATGAACTAGGAAGTCCTAACCAGACACTGAATCCACAGGCACCTTGATCTTAGGCTTCCCGGCACCCAGAACTGTGAGAAATAAATTTCTGTTGTTTTTAAGCCACCCAGTCCATGGTATTCTGTTATAGCAGCTAGGACTAAGACAACTACTGGATCCAACTGTCTTATTTCTCCACAAGATTTTAACAATTGGAATCACTCTAGGCAGGTCCCATTAGAGGACACATTACCAGTAAAAGTTGAATGACCCTACAGTCAAATATCTCAACTTTCATTAATTGCAGTGTTAAGCAACATGTTGTATTAAAGGATTGAAACAACATTCTCTTCCCGTAACTGTTGTCAAACGTCATTAAATATCTGATCAATGTACATATACTGTAACTCTTCTATGGAAACCAATGTCAGTTTCTGTGTGTGTGTGTGTTTTTATCTTTTTTAAGTTATGGCTGTTAATTCGCTAATAGCTAAGCCAATTATTCTTCCATTTTTTCCTTTTATTATGTAATTAAAATGCAAATGTTCCAAATGCTGAAACAGAATCTCAAATGTGAGGAATGATTCTGGTAAATATTTAACACGACTAAATTACTGTCATTTTTTAGCATTCTCTTAAACATGTGTTTTTTAAATCATAATCACTTTTTTTAAATTAAGTTATATATCCATATCAGCTTCCTAAATATGAAACTAATAATAAGCATATACGCTCTACTAGATGAAAAATCTGTTATAACATGTAGACATTCTTCTTTCAGAGTTTTAAGCAACTAAAATATTAGCACCAATTTCATTGCACTATTCAAGAAACATATATTTAAAAAGCCAAAGATGGATACATGATTCAGCATGTAAGCTCTTTTTATTTCCTTTACATGGATATAGATTAATAATAATGTTCCACAGCATGGGCCACTGTACCAGTTTACTAAATGGAGGTCACAATGAGGCTCTTCCTACCCACCATCCGAATGGAGGGGAGAGTTATTATCCAGAAAGAAAATTCACTCATGTTCTCCCCAAACCTAGAAAGCCTCAATGGGCCCCTTTCCCATAGGAAGAACTCCAAATTCCTAAGTAGAGCAAAGAAAAACATAGACCAGGTAGAATTTTGCCTGTCTAGCCTCATCTTGCATCCTAAAACACACAACTTCATTTCCAACTATCATCCTATTTCCCCAATACCAGGAACCATCATACTGATCCTTCTTCCTGGACCATCTTTTTCTTTGCTGGATAACATCCAGCAATTCTTCAGAGCTTATGTCATCTTCCCCTTGTGTCCTCCAGAACCTTTTATTACTTGTATCACTGTATTCAATGCTGCAAGTAACCATTTGTTTACACCTTTATCTGTTTTAGTCTGTAAGTTCCTTGAGGTCAGAGGTTGAGCCTTAATCAGAATTGGTGCTCAGTAAAAATGTCTGCAATAAATCTGATAACTCAAGGTGGGGGGGGAAGCAGGGGGTGGGGGTGGGATGAACTGGGAGACCGGGATTGACATATATACACTAATATGTATAAAACAGATAACTAATAAGAACCTGCTGTAGAGCACAGGGAACTCCACTGTACAGCAGAAACTAACACAACATTGTAAAACAACTATGCCCCAATTAAAATAAAATATGATAACTCTAACATCACTAAAGTTTAAACACCATTGATGAAAGATATGATCATTAAAGATACCATTATAATCATCTAAAAGTTAATGTATATCTTACAATAAAAAGTTAGACATAACTTTCACATTAATGTTATTTTAGTATAGTCATTTTAATATTGATAAATATTGCAAAATAATCACATTGCCTTCAGATTCACACAGACCCTACTCATATGCTATTCATATACTGTGAGCATTGAAAAATCCACTTCTAATCTTCTCTTTCTTGATCATACAATGGGAACTCATTTTTTCTACTTCAAAATATTTGCCTGTTAATACTTTGGCATGAAATAAAGGCTCTGCAAAACAGACACATTTTTTGTTTGTTTGTTTGTTTTCCAGAAGATCTCCTCTACAGGGAAGATTTGTTATTCAAGACAGTATGTGATAAATAGTTACACAGACTCAATCTCTCTTTCTATGGGAAATATTTAAAATTCAAGAGCCCTGAGCCAAAATTCAATATGAACCACCACACAGTTGACTACTACTCTGACCGCTGAAGTATATTAATTCGTGATCAGTTAAGTTTTCCTTTAGTTTCTTATTATCCATTTATTGATATTCACTGATCATTCCTCTAAAAACAGCTTTTCATTAACATAAACTACAGCATAAAAAGGGACATCCTTATTTTATAATCAGTGGTTTTAACAAGCTACAGACTCCAAGAGCAATACAATGGCAAAGCAATCACAATCAATTAGTTTCCATCTGACAACTGTCTCTGGTGGTTACCGCCCTATTCTACCAACCACTTTCTCCATCGCTTTACCATCCATCAGCACAGTACACAGGATCAGAACCAAGTAAAACGCCTCTGCAAAGGCCCAAGGTGGGGGAGTACAGAGATGTCAAGTCTAACACACCCTCACGTTTTCTATTTCCATAGCTTAGAGAATCCCAAAATAGATTTAAGATCCACATGCTTACCCCTCACAATGACTTGACTAAATTCTAAGAGAACATCCTTATTAAATATTTTAAGTAACTTGATTTAGTAGACAACAGAATATTAGTCTTGATTCTTCTATAGATAAATAAAATGCAGTTATTAATAAATTTGAAATCTTAAGAATTTACCCATGCATTTCACTATATAGTACCCATATAGCACTACTCACCTAAAATCACAGAGGTGTTGGGAAAGGTAAATAAAATTCACCATGAGGTGAAATTTTACACTTGTAAGGCATCATGCCAAATATGTAAGTGGAAATATAGAAAAATTCCTTAATGAAATCACTAGGCTGCTATACTAACCCTAAGACCACCTACACACTTTTGTAAGGTAAATCGTAAGTATACGGTGTCTAAGTCACTGTTAGCCTTTCTATTACTTACAACCAAACACAGTCCAAAGAGATGGTAATAATTTTGGATAACAGCCTCCAATATTTATAGATCTGCTTATAAGTACATGTATGTATACATTTAATGTTTAACATATACAATATATTACAAACATATAAAATAGAGCATAAGTAAAAATGAGATAAAAATAAATAAGGTATAATCCTGATTTTCTTTCTGTGCCCTAAGGTGACACAGTATGGCCTACTATATCCAGTTGAGTGCTTTGTTCTGAAGGGGAAACATGGGACATTTGTGAGAACGAGATAACAGATAAGACCTAACTCCAAACTATAAAACTTATGGCCCTAAATATCCTTGGGGTACCTTAACAATCAGACATAGAACTCTCATCTATAAACTTATCCAACATACTCAGAACCCAGTGTTTATGTTTTAAAACTGCATCACTTTTAAGATAGTCTAATACACTAAGGTGGCTACGGTATACGGTACTCTTTTGTCATGGTTTTAAAATTCAAGGAGCATCTTCTGTTTCTAGGAATGATATCTGGTAAATAAAATCGTTATAGAGCTCCCTGTTCTCTTCAAAAAATTACATCGATAAAGGTCCAAGTAAGTAAACTAGAAGGGGCCAAATATTCCCATGAATTCTCATTTGTTTTCCAAGGCTCTCCCTTACTCCACAGTACCTCATTATCAGGCATCACTCTCCCACCACATCAGCTCATGAACCTCCCATCTTACTGGACCATGAGCTTGTGGGGGTGGAGCAGGTCTTCACATCACTGATCCAGTCTTACAGACAGCCTGACACAGAGGTGCACACAATAGATGTTTATAGAAGAACGATCTTTTTATAACATGAGTGTTTTTCTAAATGTTCTGTAGAGTTAAGTGTGCACATTTTATCATCATAAAAGAAAAACTCTATATGAATAATGTTTATAAGTTAGGCCATGAGATGAGTTCCAAAAGCAATTTTAGGTAAAGTGCTTAGAATTTTATAAGAAGAGCAGAAAATCAACTCCACAAAATGGAGGCAAAGGGAGGAGAAAAAAACAATAATTAGGGAAAATATTCAGAAAGAGATGGCATGAAGGATAAAGGAATGTTAGGCTTAAGATGAACAGAGATAGTGCTTAGGATAGGGATTCCAAGCACCATGAGCAAAGTTCAAGGTCTCAGGACAAGGAAGTGCAGTTGCTGGCTTGAGGAATAGTGCCCATTCACTTGGGACCACAAAGGCTGTGCAATTATCCAGACCGCTCATCTGGCACTTGTTATATGTAGTTTAATGTGTTTTCTTATATTTTTATGGGTTTTGGTCTCTCCCCAGAGGTCAGGGAGAGAGCTTTGCTTGTAAATTCTGTATTTTTTCCACATCATGTAGCATATATAGTGAGCAATCGGTACAGTCATTAAACGCACAGTGGGAACTAGTGGTGGTTAATTCATTAAAGGCAAAACGGGAAGAAAATGTAAGGCTGGAAGACAGAAATCCCTGCAGATTTTGCAATGAAAGTTAATTTATTAATGAATTAAAACAATGACTGGTTTTCCCCCTTAAGTACTGACTTGAACCTGAATGTTACTTATAGAGGTTTTCTCTGTTGCCAGCACAACACTGCACACTGTGGGAACACAGATTTTGTTGTAGGAACAA